AATGTTAGAAGACTGAGGTCACAATTTAAAATCTTTCTGGGTTTAAAATCCATGAATGCTGATCATTGGGGAGGTCTAAATAGGCTATTTATTTTAGAGTTTATAGTAGTAAGGTTAAAAATTATTGAAAGTCAGAGGTAAAACTTTTTATATAGAAGAATGGATTTTCTAATTCAATTCTTAAACCTTTCTCTGTCACTGGCTTATTCCGTTAAGGTTAGCTCCACATTTGATTACCAAAAAAAAAAAAAAATCCTAAACATTAAAATGAATTTTAACAAAATTTTAATTCTTGCTTTGCTAGACTAATGATACATTTTACAGGAATATATAGCCTGTAATTGAACCTTTTTCCGTATGAGACACTTTTTTCAGTTTTAGCTTTCCTTTAAAGTAAGATTTAACATTTAATAAATGGACATAAAATATGGGGAAAGACTCTTTCAAAGTATTTTGAAAGTTTAAAAAATATTTTATCACAAAACCATCAGAATTACAGACATTTGTCAATACATTGTTTTCCTTCCTTGTGAGATTAGTTCTGAAAGATGTTGTAGAGTAGTGCCTGTCTTAGAAATTAGGAGATCTTGATTCTTGTCTTGATCTACAACTAATTAGCTGAATGTGACCTTAGACTGTTCATTTACCCTCTCTCGCCCTTATTTTCTTATCTGAAAAATGAAGGTGTTTGATTATGTGATCTCTAAAGTCCTGTTTTCAGTTCTGAAATGCTAAGATTCTTTGAAATAAGTTTTGTAGTACTTGTATAGTTTAGTTAAGATTTAATGAAGGTATTTTATATATATATATATATACACATATATATATGTATATTATATATGTATATATAATATTCACATATTCATTTAATTGTCCAGATACTTGTTGAATGTTTTGGTTTTCTGTGCTGGATGTCCTGAATAAGAGGGTAATGGACCTTGCCATCATGGGACAGTGCTCAGTGGAGCAGAGGGAATTAAACAACTATTACATAATTAATTACTTTAGCCAGATGTGATATGACTGAGATTGAGTAGTAGAATCAGAAAAGTAGCAGAAAGAATGAAGATGGGTACTGGAAGAGTGGATTGATTAGTAAAAGAGAACAACATATACAAAGGCCCTGATTGAGGAGCCTGGAATGCTAAAAATTACAAAAGGCACTATTCCAGGGTGTGTCACATAGCAGGTAGCTGGTGAGGTGGTGGGCATCAGATCATATAGTGACTTGTAAACCATTTAAAGATTTTGGATTTTATGCTAATATTATCTATATTACTTCCAATTAAATTCCATGACCAAACTGATGTTAACACTCATAAAATACATTCTTTATATTAGAGAAACATTTTCTCTCAGTCACTTTGTTACCAGTAACATCAGATTCCTGGCTTCTCCCTGCAGTCTTTCACTCTTAATTGGTGTTTTAAAATATGGTAACAGGATTTGCAAGGTCAGTATAGTAAAAATTACTTAATGCCTGTTAAAGTCAGATAAGTGTTTTTCTTTTTGGATTATCAGTTTTTTCATATTTTCTGTGTCCTTTTCCTGCTTACTAAAAGTGCAACAACTTGAGAATTTTGGTTACAATCTCAATTAAAAATTAGCAAGTTAATACGCTAGTCTTGTAGTTTACATTTTTTTAGTCACATATTGATTTGTTTCCTGTTCCACCACTGATTATGTTCTACATTATAAGATATTAGTATGTAAAAATGACATTTGTTAATATGCAAATAAGTTGTCTGCTTTTTTTTTTTCCTTTTTGTTATTGATTTTTAAGAACACTTCTTTATGTTAAATAGACCTGTGCTGTTTTCGTTGATTTTTCTCTGAAACTGGTTTGTGGTAGAAATATTCCTGTTGGCTAAACCAAAAAGGAAATTGTTTAATGACAAAGTCTCACTCCTTTTAAGACACTGTGACAGAAAAATGACACAAAAGGAGAATGACCCACTTGCTGATATCTGGTATCCTGAGTTAGTTCAAAGATTTCAGGTATACCAAATGTGTTTTTATTTTTAGAACATTCCTGCACAGATATTGATAAAGCCTTATCACTTTTAGTAATATGGTATTCTCTCAGGCCGGTTTCCTAATACTTCTTTTCAGCAGATTGAAATAAATACCTACTCTGTATATCAGAATGCATTCTTAGCACTCAACTGTGTAATTCCTATTCTTGTTTGAATGGCTTCAGTATGCTCTTTTCAGAAGCTTAGAACTTAGAACAATGCATATTAAATCTCATTTTCAACTCAGTCTAATGAGTGTTTATATAAACTAATACTGCCTATTATATGTTTATCTTTCTTATCCTCTGTGCATTTGAATTAATTTAAAAGCTATTACAATTTGTAAATTCATGGTAATTGGATTCTAAGAGCCATTTTTTTCTCTCTTCTGTTTAGGTTTGTACTTTAATTTTACCAGTATTAATTTATTCAACGTATACTTGTAACTATGAACAGAAGCCCCTTACTGTCTCTTTTATGGGATATAAAGGTAGATAAGACATTCTTAGTCCCAGGGATCTTATAGACTTCTAAGAGCATTAAAAACATTAAGAAGCACTTGTAAATAACACACAAATGAAAAATATTAAAATACTGCATAGGAGAGTTCAGAGGAAGGAAGAATTATTTTTCTCAGAGACAATCTAAGATAGATCTTATAAGAAAAGCAGTTACAGTCCAGATTTTAAAAGATAGATAGGATCAGATATATGCAAAAGAGAAAAATGCTCTTACTAGTGGGGGCTCAGAATAAGCAAAGAATATATGTGGAAAAGCACTACGAATATAAGAGGATCTGATTTTTATAGTATTGAATAGACGAATATGGAAATAAAACAGGCCAGGTTGATTGGGATGGGATCACTGAGGGCCTTTCATGCAATTTATATAGGTATATTCAAATGTAAGTTCATATTTAGAAATATAATAAATTAAACATTCGTTTTTGTAAATATTTTTGGTTATTTCTATGTTGTCAAATTTGTGCTAGAGGAGAAGTTTTATTATAACGTTTTACTGAATTGTATTGCTAATATTAAAATAGAATTAGACTTTTGAAAAAATTTTTCTTATGAATGCTGATGTCCTTCTTTTAGTGATTTTTTTCTATTTAAAATGTTTTCTCCATCATAATATAAATACTTATGTTTAGATTATAAAGAAAAATAGAAAAATGTTCATCTGCACAACACTTGCATTTTGTGTATTCTTTCCATATAATATTTAAGACATTTTTAAGTAAAATAGAAAATAAGATGAGATAGGTTATTTTTTTTGTGCTTTTAAGAGAATATAGAACTGATAAACTTCCCTACTTCCGTTTATCTTCCCCTGTTAGTTTGATTAAACAACTTTAAATCTTTGACTAAAATCTCGTTTTTCATTTAAATCAGAATTTTTGGTCAGTTGAAAGCATTATTTTTCAGTTTTAAGAGTAATTTATTCCAGAAGCAGTCTTACTATTTATTTTATTCCCCTTTAAAACTGCCTAGGGATGCCTGGGTGGCTCAGTTGGTTAAGTGTCTCCCTTCAGCTCAGGTCATGATTCCAAGGTCCTGGGGTCGAGTCCCACGTTGGGCTCCTTGCTCAGCGGGGAGTCTGCTTCTCCCTCTGTCTGCTGCTCCCCAGCTTGTGTGCGCACACGCTCTTTTTCTGTCAAATAAATAAATAAAGTCTTAAAAAAAAAAAAAAAAAGACATGAGACGTGACCCCTGCCTACAAGGTATTCACAGCCTTGTTTAATGGATCTAAATGCGGATTGACACCAGACCCTTTCTCGCATGTGCAAAGCAAAAATCAGTAACGCGGGAGGCTTCTGTTTCGTAGAAATTAGGATTATTGAAGGAAGCTGCCTAAAGCCCAGGAATTTTTATGTATCTTAAGATTTTGGTATTAAAATTAGAAGAGTAGGGGGATGCCTGGGTGGCTCAGTCAGTTAAGTGTCTACCTTTGGCTCAGGTCATGATCCCAGGGTCCTGGGATCGAGTCCCACATTGGGCTCCTTGTTCAGCAAGGAGCCTGCTTCTCCCTCTGCCTGCCTCTGTCTCTCTCTCTCTGATAAATAAAATCTTAAAAAAAAAATAAAAAAAATTAGAAGAATAGGATAATTATATATATATAGTATATATTATTACATATTATATATGTATAGTGCAGCAAGACAAAATTTGCTGAATGTGTATGTTCCGGTACTTGGAAATTAAGAAAAGGAGATTCAACTAAAGAATGAGAGAAGCAAGAATAAATGGGGACTGGCTTCTTATTACTATTATAAACCTAAGTAGATAGAAAATATTTTTTTCTTATTAGTATGTCAATGGAAATTTCTTATTTATGTCTCATACCCTGGATTTATATGCACAAGTATTAGCTTTGTGACAATATGGAGTTTCTCAACTCTGACATTTAGTTTCATTTAAATTTCTTTTTTTTTTTTTTTAAAAGATTTTATTTATTTATTTGAGAGAGAGCACATGAGAGGGGGGAGGGTCAGAGGGAGAAGCAGACTCCCCGCTGAGCAGGGAGCCCGATGCGGGACTCGATCCAGGGACTCCAGGATCATGACCTGAGCCGAAGGCAGTCGCTTAACCAACTGAGCCACCCAGGCGCCCTTAAATTTCATTCTTAATACTCTTGGGTCATCTGGTATCTCATTGTTTATTTCTGCAAACTTATTCATATAAATTGAGATAAACATTGATTTTTGAGCTCCCACTAAATAAATAAAAATTTTTGAGTGATTTAGTTAGTGATTTCCTGGTCAATGAAGTGAGACATTATACTTGTCTAGGGCTACATTGTTGATGTCCTTTTCGTGGAAGTAGCAGTCTCAATCTTATATTCAGGAAGCATTAAATAAATTTAGGCTAACCAGTTTTCCATTTTATGGAAATTACTCCTGTTTTTAAATAATAATATAAGAATTTATATGACATTCAGAATTACAGATATTTTGATGATTTAATACCATTTTTTCCTATGTAGGATACCATTGCAGTAGCTGGATTTACTGTCTTGTCAGCATCTTCATCTACAAGCAGAGATGGTAAACATTGCTTATTTTTGAAAGCATTTGAGGACTTCAGATCAACTGTTTATGTAAGTGTGTAACTTTTAGTCCAATCATTTGTGGTTTTAATGAGCTAAGGTAGGGATGGAAAAGGGGCAGTATATCTATAAATCTGCAGATAAACTATTGAGTCTGACTGGATTATTTTAATTAAATATTTTAAGTTTAAAGCCAAAATTCTTTTCTTGGCTTTATGTTTAGAATGACTCCAGGTAGAAAAGAAAGATCCCTTAAAAATAATTATTAATAGAATTTTTAAAACTTTATAGGTACTCTAGACCTGATCTCATTCTTTGCTCTTACACCACCAGCCCCTTTTGATGGTCTGCTTGATTTCACTTTAAATTGATCAAGTGCCCTTTTTTAGGTAAAACTGATTTCATTCTATTTTATTTTTTACAGAGATGATCATTCTCTGCCTCCCACTTTACCCCTCCTCCCACAGCCCTGTGTGTGTGTGCATGTGCACACATGTGCACACATGGAGACCACCAGTTTGGTCAAGGCTGTCAGAGAAGTAGAGTTGGGCCAAGTCCTGTGGTTGTAGGCCACCGTCTGCCTGTTTTTCTGTAGTATCCACAAGGGCATTATATGGGCTAGGGGTAGTCCTGTGATATTGTGAAACTAATGGATTATGCTGAAACTTAGACAGTTTTGCACATGTTAGTCTTAATATGTAAGCCATAATTTTGTGCCATTCTAGTGAATTTGAATATTACACAGTTAAGTGTGTAGCTTTGGTGCAGTTAAAGGTCTGTAATCACATTGGAGGGAGGTTGTATACAAGTAAATCCTCTTTTTTTGTTTTCAGGTTTATGTTAAATCTGTAAGGGATTTTTCTGCAGAATCAATGTCTTTGGTAAGATGATATTCAATTTAACTTAAAATACTCACCCCCCCACACACATAAAGATACACACATATATGTACATACATATATATGTATGCATCCCATATATATATATATGAGATCCACTTATAGTCTAATTTTAAAATAGTAATACAATGGGAAAACAAAATCTCTACCTTTAATAATGTTAAATTTATTGTAAATGTATTAAATGTAAATATATATTTACCAAGTAATTAATACCTGGTTGTTCTTTTATTTGGAATATCCGCACATATATACTGGTCTATTTACATGGAAAGTCAAATTATAATCAAGAAGTTAGTTGTTTGTTGTTCATGAATTAACAAGTACATTACATGGATGACCATAATGGTTAGTGTCATTGAGTTGTGCTGGCCTGCTGCATTCATCTGTACATTAGGGAGATAACTTTAGTCTTGGATCTAGTTATTTGTCAGCTGAGCATATATCTTTCTTTTCTGTCCCATATGCTGACCATTATTTTTCTTCCATCATTTATGAGCTACAACTTTTTTTCTATCGAGGTTTGATAAGATTTCTAAGCACTGCCTTTCTTATATTTGAACTAAAGTATCAGCTTCCTTGAAAAAGCCAATTAACTCATTTTGATTTGATTTTTAAAGTTTTAACTCATAGTGTGGTAGGTAGTAACCTTATTTCCAGTTGTGGGTGGGATGGATGGGTGATGGGGCCAGATGTGTGAACCCTTTTAAGGATTGTTTGACTAATACGCAGACATGTCTGTGTAAATCACTTTCCCCTTTATTTCCAAACTTATGTACAATTATTTCAGATAATTTTTCTTTTCTATTTTTCCCATTTTTAATGTATATACCATTTACAATCAAAACCTGGCTTTTTAGGCCTAAGTAAAATCTTTATAGTAATATAGGGAGAAAAAAAAGAAATATATACCACAAATTTTAAAGGGATATTACTTAAAGTTAAAATCCAGAACCAAAATCTCTTAAATTGCATTTCTTAGAATTGTGTACAAATTACATAATTTATCATCAGAATTCTTTCTAAGAAAACCTGGTTGGTTTGTATAGTATTCTTTATAAGCTCTGCATTTCCTTTTTTTTTCAGGCTATATCCTCTTTTTAGAAACTTAAAAGGAAAAAAATGCAATTAGATTGGTTGTTAATTTAAAAATTTAATCATGAAATTATTCTAAAATGTAAATACTTAGTATTGATGTATTCACTGTCTTCTCTTTCTTAGGTTCCAGCAACACATTATATATATACACCCCTGAATCAACTTAAGGGTGGTACAATTGTCAATGTCTATGGTGTTGTGAAGTTCTTTAAGCCTCCATATCTAAGCAAAGGAACTGGTAGGTATTAAAATTGGTGAAGATTTTAATGGGCTGAAACTGCTTTATTGGTTTCAGAAACATAGCTCCTTCAATACTATTAAGTCTTAGAAGCTCAGTTCTGATTTATTTATTTTTAAAAAGATATATTTATTAGAGAGAGAGAGAGCGTGCACGCACGTGCATGGTTGCATGTGAGTTGGGGGAGGGGTTGTAGAGAGAGAGGGAGAGAGAGAAAATCCTCAAACAGATTCCCCGCTGAGCACAGAGCCCAATGTGGGGCTCTTTCCCAGGACCCTGGGATCATGATCTGAGCCGAAATTTGGAGTCAGCCGTGTAAGTGACGAGCCATCCAGGTGCCCCTCAGTTCTGATTTATAATTGCCAAACAACATGGATGCATATTTTTTGGCCATTTTCATCTATAAAATAAGTGTCATCTTTAGATTCCAAAGCCTAAATTAAGAAAAGGATGCTAAACTGCAACATGACAGCATATGAAAATATGAAATAGGCTAGAAAAGGTAAATATATAGACAAATATAGAATATTTTAATACTATAATGGTGGTATACAAATCACTTTTAATTCTGGTATAGAACTTAAAAAAGATGAAAGTATAAAAAATAACTACCTGTGAACATGTTAATGAATACACAGTATAAAAAGATACAAATTATAACATTAATAGCAAAGTGTATGTGAGGAGGAGTAGAAGTATAGTTTTTATATATAATATTTATCAGCTTAAAATAGGTTATTATAACTTTAAGATGTTTTATGTAAACTCCATGGTAACCACAAAGAAAATACCTACAGAAGATACACAAAAGGAAATGAGAAAGGAATCAGAGTATGTCACTACATAAAAAAAAATCAGGGAAGGACAAAGGAGGACAAAAATACTAAAAGACAGAAAACAATTAGCACAATGGCAGTAGTAAGTCCTTTCCTATCAATAATTACTTCAAATGTGAAAAAATTAAGCACCTCAGTCAAAAGGCATAGTACTTTGGTTGTTTTTAAAGATAAATTAAGATATAACCTACTAATTCTGTATAATAATAAAAGCTTTTAGATACTGACATAGAAAAGAATCAAAAAAATGAATTTCAGTTTTCAGAGAGTTAATATAGTAAACAGACCATATACCTTTACCTTGGTTTAATTCAGTTCAACTAAATTTAAGTTATTAATCTATTTAATCTAACCTGAAACAGCATTTGTAAAAGCACCATTATGTATGTATCATCAAGAAAAGCTCTGCCAATTAAGTTATGATTCACTGTCAATTTTAAGATGTAGCCATTTTTTTTTTTTAAAGAGTTTATTTTTTTGACAGAGATAGCGAGAGAGGGAACACAAGCAGGGGGAGTGGGAGAGGGAGAAGCAGGTTTCCCGCAGAGCAGGAATCCCGATGCGGGGCTCGATCCCAGGACTCTGGGATCATGACCTGAGCTGAAGGCAGACGCTTAACGACTGAGCCACCCAGGCGCTCTAGATGTAGCCATATTTTAGAGATGTTAAAAACGCAAAACAGTGTTGTTGATGAAATTCTGTCTTTATCTACTGCATGCCTACTGCATGTAGTTTACCTACTACAACAAAGATGTCCTCATTGTGTTTATATTTTAAAAAATACTTTTATTAAATTATACATATATAAATTTTATTATTGTGGAGTGAACTCGAAGTATACTCTTTAGTGGGAGGTGAGGGGAACATCTTATTTTCATGTTGTCAGAGGATTTTGTTAATGCAGAATGTGAAGACTTACTCTATGAAAGTGACTGTGTGAAGACTGAAATCCAGAGAAATTTGAAATAGGTGGTAACTAAGTCTGAAGGCTGCAGAGGGATGTTTTATTGAAAACTGGTGATTTCTGTTTTAGCAGAAAGGGAATGTTAAACAGTAAGGTTGAAGCAGAGAAGTTATTAAGTGTTTATTTCTCAAATATTTTCATTTGACTTTGTCCTACAGTCTACATTCTCCATGCTGTCATACTGTTCAACATACATTTGCATACTTTCATCTTGGTGCTTTGTTTGCATCATCAGGTTTATTGTCTCCTGAATCTTAATATTCTGTAAATTTGCTATAAAGGTGTGATCACTATGATCCTCTTCCAGTTGTGAGTGTTATCTGGTGGCTCTCATTGGCCTGCTGAATTTAGGAATAAGCTACATTACTGCCAATTATGTCTATCTGACTTGGTAGAAGATAGAATTTAAAAACTTTCTGCACTTGATATGTCACTAATTCTTGTCACCGAAAGTTTTTACTAATCAGCAAGTGTATTCAAAAATAACAAATGATAGTAGTATAGAATAAAATGATAGCTGTTTTTAAAACATTGATGACTCAATTTTAATTTTAAGTTGTCTTAGCATAATCATGTTTTCTTCTGACAATGTTATTAAATCATGTGTCTATAATGAAAGCCTTGGAGAACTATAATTTTTATTACATATTCAGATGTATTTTATATCTCTATCAGATATGTGTAGTTGGATCCAGTCCCTTAATAAAACAAATCATGAGTAGTAATAAACCATCTGTTATTACAACGATAATATGTTTCTCTATTTCTTCTGAGATACTAAATTAAAATGAAGGTCATCAATTTTATCACAAATTCATTGAAACTCTAAAGTATATTTTAAAATATAGTGAGATGTCTTTACTGCTAGCAAGACGGTAAAGTTTTAAAATTATCTATTACATAACTTGAGTTACAATTTTTATTTCTACTGATAGAACTCATCCTTCAACATGCTGTAGGAGAATCAGACAAATAGCTCTTTTTGTGTTGAGGAAGGGATCAACTTCATTAGTATTACTACTGAGATGTACCAGAATAAATGTACAGGAACAATCCACAGCTATGCCTTTTTTGTATTACATAAAGCAGTATTATTTTGCAAATATGGGACCAAATCTTAATTACATCCAGCTGTACATAAGTAGTTATATGGAGGAAAATTACCTTTATGCAGCTCAAATTTAGGTAAATGGAAAGAAGTCTATTCTGCTCTATATCATTAGCTAGAATTTTTTCACTGAAATTTATTTTATAAATTTTTAATTCAGTGCCACTGAGGCTATTTGGTACACTCTAGCATTTGTACTTCTTGACTAAAATTTTTCTTGAAGACTTTCCTCTTCATACTAGTAGTGATTACATATGACCTGTAGCATGCTGCTGTCTTATTTCTGGTAGCAAATGCTTGTTTCCCAGGTTTTATATTCAGTCTTGGGAGAGTTGTAGCTTTTTATTGTAGAAGTCTATCACTCCTGTTGTTAAAAGGACAATATAGATAGTTACATTCTTATTCAATTGTGATAAGATTCATCATGAAAACCGAGAATTTCTCAAAGATTATAGAAACAATATTTAGTAAAAGATCATTGTATCATCAAAATTGATTTTGATAATGATTCATCAGGGGTACATAATATGTCCTCTTTTATGTAGGAAGACAAGGTCATTGCTGCCTTAGGATTTTGAGATTTTATAGCAATTATCTTTGAAAGCCTCACATTTACTTTTGCTTCAGAGAGCTGGCTAGACAGAGTTAGGTACGTAAGTTTTTTGCCTTACACAGGTAACATTGATATTTTTTTAGTTAATGCCTATTAAGTTAAATTTTAGCTTTGTCTCAGATTTTAAGAAATAGCCTACCATTTCTTTAAGCTTGAGACACATTTACTCTGTTCTTATTGTCTGTTCTTGCTAAGTAAGATAAATGTAAGCAGGCCATAAAACGCTTCCAGACTTAATAGTATGTGGCTCGTGCTTGCTTGTTATTAGTATCATAATGCCTGCTTGCTCTATGAGCAAATGGGAGGAGTAGAGGGAACCCTGTTTGTGCTTACTTTTCTAATATTTGAGTCCAGAGGAAGGGAGAGGATAGCCAAAATATTTTTGTCATTTTTTGACTGTCCATCTTTATCTCTCCCCCTCCACTTTCTTTTTCTTTCCTCAAACTCTGGGACCCTACAGGTCTCAGTCTTTTTGTGCCACGTAATGTGGCATATCGCCTGTGGCTCCCTAGCTAACCTCAGGAATGTGTTATGTTCCAAAATTACTTGGTTTTCATACCTGCCTTCCATTAAAATTCTCCATTTTTGGAAAGCAGTTTGATTAAATTTGAACAATTTTGGATGTTACAATGTTTCGAGAAGCAGATCTATCTCTTGCTGTTCATTATCTTATAAAAGGATACCTGTTTTAGCCACAAACTGAGCATTATAATCAAATTTCTTAGAGCAGTATCCAAAACATTGGACTTTTGAGAGACCCTATGTATTTTGTTTTCTTTTAGTTCTTGGGATAGGGCCCTAGGAGTTTTTCTTTTCCTTGTCTGTAGAACATTCCAGCTAACTCTAGAACGCTATTTTTGGTTGTGTAAAAATATTTTCACTTAGGAGAATGATTTGATATATATACATTAATGTCATGTAGCATTGTTTGATTATTTTGTTTTGTATGAGTAATATTGGTTGCATATTAAATGATTATATAGTGTCTTTTAATTTTTTAAAGTGTAACAAACTCCATATTCCACATTAAAAAGAATTTATTAATTACTGAATAATTCATAACTCATTGGTGTTCTATAAGATCCAGGACACTTCTGAATCATCGAAGAGATATTAAAGCATCTAGTATGATGTAAAATTACATGTATATTGAATTATATTTTTTATATTTTAAAATTGATAATGCATCTTTGGAAGTCTTTTGGTTTGCGTTTTGGTTTGGGGTTTTTTTAGATTTTATTTAAATTCAAGTTAGTTAACATATAGTATGTATTATTAGTTTCAGGGGTAGAATTTAATGATTCATCAGTTGCATAGAACATCCAGTGCTTATTACATCAAGTATCTTCCTTAATGCCCATCATCCAATTACCCCATCTTCTCACACTCCTCCTTCCAGCAACCCTCAGTTTGTTCTCTATAGTTAAGAGTCTTTTGTGGTTTGCCTGCTTCTCTTATTTTTTTTTCCCCTTCCTTCCT